AAATATCAAGGAAAGCTATTAGCCCCGCTGGAAATATAAATTTATTGAAACCCCAAACTTCCTCCATGTTGAGTTGATAGATTCACATTTTCATGAATATGCAAATAATAGCAATTTACAGAAACTGATTGATTTGTGAGATATTAAAATTTCTTTCATAAAGGGGATAAAATTTCATTATTCTTTTTTCCGCAGTTTATTAATTCTTCTAGCATTAGGTCATTAATTTTATTAACCACGAAGCCAATAAAAGTGTAGCGGATTGCTACCTTAGTAAAGCCTGACTGACTCAGAAATCTCTATGGCAGATTCTCCTACATCTAGCTAGACTCCCAGAACTAGCTAAGCTATAGCCCAGCTATAAAGGAAACAGACGTGTAGCACGGAGCACGTTTACTCAGGATGTATATTGCGGATCAAGTGTACACGCAGGGAGCTACTCATGATCAGGATGGGGGATTAGGTTAAACAGAGGTTGATGATTGTCACGTTTGTACGGTCGCTGCACACAGAGTTGTACGGCCGCACCTCCCAATCCTGGCGAGCAGACATCCAGGCATACGATGACGCACACAGCGATAACGTGTCCCACAAAAGGCAAAAAAGAGGCCACATAATTAGATGACCAAAAATATTAAAGAGCAATAAATTTATTGCATAAGGACTTCCACTTTTTTTTCACAAAATTAGAAATAATGAGGACCTATCGATTCAGGGGGATCGGAGGTGTTGGTTAAACTTTTGGCTGTGGCAGTCTCTTATAATTCACTCATCTGTCCACTTGTAGAGCTTGAACAACACAAACTCTTGAAGGTTTGGCGTTCAAACAACGGTTCACTTTTGAGAACATTTATATGAGTTGGCAGGCTTTATGACAGTTATCATTAGCCTTATAGTTGAATTCGAGTTTCACAGATGGGAGGAACATCAAAGCCACAAAATGTCGGGGAGGGGGGGGGGAACAGAGGTTTCGCAGATGTAACAGAGAGTCACAAAGGCATAAACAAAGGTGAGGTGAGTACTGTGAAAGTGGTGATATATGACATACAGTCGGGAGATGGTAGTTTGAAGTCAAAAGTCAACTGCCGGTTAATAGACTTTTTTGCCTTATGAGTATATGTTGCTCAGAGTGTACCACATGGAGGTATGTCTATCGCATGTTGCTCAGAGTGTACCACATGGAGGTATGTCTATCACGCACCCCTATTAAGGGCATAAATGCGCTTGCATTTAAGTGGATATCGAATGAATGATTGGCTGATCCAAGCCGAACCTAATTAGCCAATTCTGAATGTAGAAGCTCAAGAATTGGTGTCTCAGAGCATGAGGAACGAGGTCACACGTGTTCTCTTGGTGTACTCGAGCGATTTGTTTTCTCACTATTACAATGAATGGCTTTTTAAAGTTATTTTGCGATTAATCCTTTCCTTCCCATCTATCCACTTTTGCCTTAACCTGATTTCTTAGTCACATCAGATTGCAACACTTAATTACCAGCTTGTCTAAGCCTATTCAAAGTATTTATTTAATGGAAAAACGAGTAAAGTGAACGAATAAGTAACATAGGTCGACTACCTATAAGATAGTATTTTCATTGGTAGAGACTTCAAAATCTATAAGATTGCAATTGAGCACACATCCACATTAACACCACCTCTACAGTTATCACGTCAAACTATTATTGAAGCATTATGCGATAAAATATAAGTTTGGACTGTTAACGAAATGATTAATTTTTGTCTAATTCGGCATGGAATCAAGATCATTTTCCAATCGAAATTGGTTTTAGTTTTGATCCGGGCGTCAGTTACATTTAACCTTCTATTAGTAATAGCAACCCATATCGGCAAAATAGCCTGTTTTATATAAGTCAATAAATAATAATACATTAGGTGAGAATCATATGCCTAATTAGTTCGCAAAATGAGGCATTCATTGACCCAGTTTATGCCAATCTATCATATAAGTGAAATATGGCCTACTTAATAGTTTAAGTAAAAGTTTAACTCATACAAAAATCGATAAATACTATAGACTGGGCGTCGAATGATAAAGATATATTAAATCAATCATAATAATAATAATACATTTATGCTCAAACAACGCAATGGTATGCACAACAAATAGATAATATGATGTCAATGATATTGCATTATGAGTTGTTTAGAAAAAAAAAACGCCTTAAAATGTCAACCCGTGAATACTCAATGATGATAATGTTGAGAAAGCGAAAAAAAGATACGAGGAGAAAAGTACTTTGAGTGCGGAGTAAATGAAGAGGATGAGAAAGTAGGGAGTTCAGAGTTGCAAAAAAATGTACAAGACCAGCTTGAGACACAGCTACAGATGATTGCGTTTTCTCTTAATTGCTTCCCTTCACTTCTTCGTTACGAGCGAGAGAGGTAGCGCGCGCGCACACACACACGCACGCGTATGGGTGCAATAGAATTTAAAGTCCAGCTTTTGTCCACTTGTCCAACACCTTGTAGGCAGGGGTGATAAGAAATCCGGAAGGGGAAACAAATAAGTACTCCTGTTTGTTTTTGCATTGAAGCCTATTCGCTTGGGGAATCCGATTCTGAAATTAAAGAAAAAGAGGGAAAATGAAATAAAAAAATTCATAGTGAAAATAGTGCCATTAAGGCAAATAAGCAGATTTGCCTATACATCGAACACCACCGATAAGGTAGATTAATTCCAAGTCGATACCACCCCACAGCCCAAAGAGTGACGACTGCAAGCCATTACTTCTGAATGCATCGATTCCACGTGAGAGACAACCATATTGATATCAGAATCCTCATAGTAAGAAGGCCCGTTTCTTGAAACTTTCAGGTAATACAGATTAAGGACGAATAAACTTAGCAAATATCACAAAGCAGAGCTATTCCTCGATCCGACTTGAGCACTGAATAAACAAACATTTTGAGCCACATGAACCTAACTTCCTTGCTTTCCTACCTCCAAATGTTAAAACTTCGAAGCTTTAAAGTCACTCGTCTAAGCGTTCAAAGGCATGTTAGGCTCGGTGGTTAACATTCTGGCTTGAGAATACGGGTTTAACGCCCGTCGGTGCACATTTAGCGAGGACAATAAAAAATTGCCCTATTAATCAAGTCTGACAGATATTTGTGTCGAGGAGGGAGAAATCGAATTTTAAACCAAAGGGTTAGATGATGCCACCCCCTAAACTTACCAGATCTGTGCTTGAGTGAACGACATTAACCTCATGAGTACTTCGAGTAACAGATTAAATTCTTAAAAAATAGATTTAGTAATAAATGGTCTCCAGTCTTGCACCTTACGCCTTCAGGCTTCCATTCGAGCTTTCAATAGGGGATTACAAGCAAATTATCCTACAAGTTTGTCAACATTTCATTACTTACATATATCTCACGTGTAGTTGCATAGTAAGGTTGCCAATTTCCCATTCACTCAACCGAAACAGCAAACCTTTGTTCTACAACTTGTTCATGAATTAAAATACACCAGCCCATTCAAGATAGACTTTTTACATTCTTAAAAGACTAATCGCTCCTAAGTATTTTAACATTCCCGAAACTCCCAAATTCGGAAGTACGACCATACTGCTAAGGCTAATGGCTCACCTTCAATGGCCAGCTTGGTGACCTTTTCAGTAAGTAGCTCCAAATCTCTATTAATTTCCGCTGTAGAGTACTCCGAAATGACAGAAGAACCACTTGAGACACTGGCTCGTCCCATCCATCGGGCAGGAGATTGTGATGAAGGTCCAGGCTGCGGCGGCGGTTGAAGCTGAGAGGAAGGAGAAGGGGAGAGAAAAGCGGCACCTTCGGGGGCTCCTCCTCTTGAGTGCGGCAGGGGTGGAGGAAGAAGATTGAAACATACTGTAGTGGCTGCAGATTGGTGGAGTTCTGGCGAGGCGAAGGGCGATACAGAGGGCGCTGAGAGATCACTGCTCACATGGGGATCGTGGCAAGAAATCAAACGAGTTCGAGGGAGAAACGGATGTGCAGAGGTCTTAGATAGAAAACAAATAGAAAGAAATAGGTACTTACGTGATTTAAGTAACACCTTTTATAACGCAATTTAGGCTAAGAACACATTAATATAATAAAATGGAAACAAAATCGAAACGATATTCCCAGTGCCAAGATTCTGGCTCTTCATATTCCAAGTTGAAGAAAAGTTCTTCTGGATGAATTATGTGAAACAGCAGGATTTAGTTTTTGAGAATATCATAATCATGTATCGAATAGAAGTTGGATACGCTGAAGAAATCACTTGGCTTATAGCAAGCCATCACACCAAGAAAAGCGTCAAATAAAATGATTAACAAGAACAAAGAGTCAAATAATATATTAATGAACTAAAATGAAGCTGATGGCCAGTTATTTCTGTATGTTTGAAAGCTAGTTACAATTGAATGGATAGTTTATGATAGGAAGAAGGGGTGTGAGATAGACTTACCTTCATGTGGTGCACCCTGGGCAACGTATACAAAAAAAGTCTATTAACTGAGAGTTGACTTCTGACTTCAAACTACCACCACTTCACTCTATGCCATATTCGACTAATTCCACAGTACTCTTCTTACCTTTTTCTACCTTTGTGTTTGTCTCTTACATCTTTGAAACACTCTTCTGTCCCACCACCTCTCGACTTTTTTTCAATTTGATGTTCCTTCTCTTCTGTGAAGTCTGAAGTCAACTAAAGGGCTAATGATAACCATCAAGACGCCTGTCATTTGATATAAATAAATATATATATATATATTTTGAAATGCATTTGATATAAATAAATAAATGATCGGAAGAAATACTAGGTAGATAGAAATTAGCAGCATATCTGACCTTAAGCTAGAGATTAAAAGACCATCTACATACTAAAATGTGAAATTATGTAAAACGATTCCCACCCCAATAGAATGTCAGTGGGTGAGACAAGTTGGAACCATATTCAAATATGACAAAATCAACCTACAAAGAAAGCGATAACCATGACTGTAAAACCAAAGTATTTTAGCCACACCTTTCTAGCAAGATAACTCTGTGAAAATTTATTTTCCGATCATAACTAAAATGCAATGAGACCTACAACCAACTGGAGAAACAAGATATGGAACTTGAAGCAGTGAATTTAGTTGATAGCCCTAATCACAACAGCTCTTTCCTATTAGTCAAAGTAACAGAATTCCTTTAGATTATTTTGATAATTAAAGCCCGAGGTGTCTTGCTTTGCAGTACTTGCAAAGTGTTTAGCAACTTATCGCCACACCCTCAGTACACCCATGACATCTTAAATCGCCTCTCTTCATACCTTCATCAACATCTAGTTGATTTCCCTTCAAATTGCATCATTCCTTTGCGTGTCCCTAAGAAAACTTGGTCGTACTTAACTTACTTTCATGACATTTGGCCCAATTTTCTTGCAATAATAACTGTAAAAATAGGCTAATGCATGTAATTTGTAGCTAGGTTTTGAAATACAAAACTCTTACTTTGAAAGATGAATATCGATGCGTTCATCGACAATACTACACTTTAATCTCATTCTTTGCACAAATACGTTGATTTTCCATTTTTGTTGAGGCAATAACTTCAATCCCTATCTGTCATGTCTTTAGGTAACAATCCGTTCGTTTTAGAGCATATTGTGCCCATACTTCAGGCGCCTGCTTACCACAGAGGCTCATACGAACCCCTCCTGTATTTCCACACACACACACACACACACACACACACACCCCGATGGTCTTTCACCTATTCCCTCGTTGCCCTTTCACCTCTTCTCTCCCTCATCTCGACCTTACTCCCACAAATCCTCAGTGATTTATTCAATACACTTAATTCAACACAACTCTATGTGTTCTAGATTTGAAGCTGTTGACTAATGCTGTTAGCTGCTAGCTTCAACGATCTGGTTCTGGTTCAGTAGTTCCTACAATTCGGAGAGCCACAACTGAGTTCAATAGTGTTCTATTCTATTCTTCCACTATGATGAAAATGTTAGGTAATCGAATCAATAGGTGCATGGGTCCGAGAAGCAGAAGGCTGCATATTCCAAGGTTAGTTGTCTATACACTTTCTTATATGCGTGCCTGAGAATGGAATCCTACTACTGCTCCATCATCAGGTTGCATATATCAGATTGATTGCAATTTTCTTGAAATAAAATCAACCCGATTTCACTTTGCGTTTCGACATTTTAGGCGTCCCTGTCCTTAGGATCAGTGCAATCAGGGTAAACTGAGCTACAATAGTACAGGACATTTGACATTATCAACTCACTGAGTCAGTATGCCTGAACTAATTGACTAAATGAAATCGATCTAACTGGACTAGATTGACCTCCATGTAAAAGTATATGTATTCCCTATCAACCTCTGAAACAATATCCACTGTACCTATACCCGACTCTAGTAGCTACCCTACCCACAAGCCTATACCGACCATTAGTCTATATTAGGTCTCCTCCCTATTTCTCGAAATCTTTTAATCACTACCTACAGACCAAAATTTATACACAATTGATTACAATTGTTTAATGAATAACCGCCCGATCCCATTTCTCTTCGACATCTCAGTTGGAATTTGAATAAAAATTTCGACTTAGGGGCAAAAAGTGACTTAGAAAGAAACGAAAAAGAATAACTCACCGGATAAGGTTCCATAAGTCCATACGGTGTCGATACCACAGTAAGGCTATCCATGCTAGCCACCCTCTGTTGATGCTGTCCACAATGCGTTGAAGGAACGATCATCACAGGAGGAGGCGGAGGTGGTGCTGCCGGCTGTTGTTGTTCATGGTACACAGTAGCTCTCAGGGGTATACCTCCACCGCCTTGATGGTGGTGATGATAGACATCGGGTTCAGCACTGCGGCCTCTCACAATACCCCCCACCCAACGGGGTCCTGGTCCACCAGAACTGAAAAGTGATTGTGCATGAAGAAAGGGTGAATGCGGCGTGGGCTGTTGGGACTGGGGATGTAAGAAGGACATTCGCACAGGGGAAGTAAAGTAGGGCCGTGTGAGAACGGGAGGCCCTACACTGGAACGTGGGGTGTAGGGTGCAGAATGGGAGCCTCCGCGATCGATATGGGGGCCTTGGTATGGTGGGGAGGAGTACTGATAGGAAGAACGGCGGGATGTTGCTCGATGATGGTGGTGATAAGATGATCGACGAGGTGGGGGTGGGGCAGGACCTAATCGATCTATCAACTCTTTCTCCCAGGAAATCACCTGATCCTTCTGAGATCGACTGAAGGACTACAAAAATTAAAGATGCATTGATTTTAAATTAATTCTCAAAGAAAGTAAAGGAAAATCCCTTATTCACACTCTCACCACTTTCCCACATTTAAATATGTTGAGATTTTTAAACAGAATTTCAAATCCAGCACCCAAAAGACAGACTATATGGTAAAACACATTTTGGAGATTTGGGGATTTGAATGGACACAATATAATAAGATATAATCAAGTCAAGAAGCGCATTGTTCTGGGACCCTTATATAGTTCCCAAAAAGTTACCCTTAGGAAGCTTAATGGAGCCTTTTGATAGACCCGAGAGGAACGCATAATTTGCTTTCTTCGTACACTGGATTATCGATTAGATTTTTAAGCTCTCACCCAGGTAAGTAAAGCCACTATTCATTACTGAATAAAACAATCATTTATTGTGGAATCAAGTCTGTACAAACAGATTTATTTTAGCTACAGACCTACTTCTTTTCAGTGCCCGAGAAGTGGTGCCTTATAAGTGACAACTGAGAATTTTAAGTCATACATGCCATTAGACGGACCCCGAAAAGCAACAATGTCGTTATATAGAGACGACATTAAACAAACCCTCCTCGATTATAACTAAGTATCATGGCCTCATATTGGTACTTAAAGGACTTAACTACTGTAGTAACTACAAGTCTGCTTGCAGAACCAGCAAGTGTCCTCAAGCTGTTTATTCTCATTAGCGCGATTAAATCACTCGAGTTGCCCTTGAAAGATCGATCCCGTGTCTCAGGTTCCAGGTCAATGGTGTCCGGATATATCCCACCTGCTTATGTTACCCCATCTTAATGAAGTGTAAACAAGCAGTGTAAATAGGCGCAAGATCACTGTAACCACTAATACAGCCTTCGCTTCACTATTCATGAACTTGGGGCTCTCTCAGTACCCACCAAGGCTCTCCAATCAATAACCTTTCTTTTCTCCATCAAGTTGTGCAGTGAAGACTGTAAGAAGTTAGAAGAAGCTCAGCTCGATAATCATCCCCCACTAAGATGCTAGCTGACACTGACCATTCTAAGACAACCCCCATGCAAGCACATTTCAAAATAACTGAAATCAGCACAAGAAGTTCTCAAGTAGAATAAGAAAAAAAGGAAGCTCCAAGATTCTTAAATGAAGTTTCCATAAAAATGATTACGAAATCACCTTATATAATACTTCCAACTATCCTATCACCCCAAAAATAAGTTGAAATTCTGAACCAAAATTATGATATCCAGACCCAAGTTCCAAACCGTATAAGAAAATCCCTCCGAGACAGGAGTACGGGTGATGTCCCTGCTGTCGTTCCATTTGTCTCTTAAAGCTATCGGGATTGATAAAATACCAATAGGATATAATCTAGTCGAAAAGCGAATTGTCATAGGGTCTTCGGGCGTCGTTCACAGTGAGTTATGGAGATCAAACAAATGAAAGACTGGCGTTAAAAACATAATTAGATAGGAATACGTGCTGAACACTCACAGGATGATCAAGAACAATCCCCAGTAGTTGTATAAAAAATCCATAATTGTCGTCATTTTCGACTGGCTCGATGAGAAGAGCTTTATATCCTAAAACCGAAAACATTGTTAGTGTAACAAAATAATTAGGCAGTACAATTTAAGAACATCCATGAAAGCTAACCATGATTCAGACATCTCATGATCTGCTCAGATAGGTTCTCCTCCGCTACTGCCTCCTTACACGACGGAGCACCCTGTTGTTCCTGCTCTTCCGTAGTTACCGGTTGTTCATGGGAATTATCTGAAGGGAAGAATTGTCTAATAGTCTCAATTTCAGTAGTATTAACAGCAGTAACCGCAGAGGCAGCACCGCCTTCACTCGATTTGGGTCGCTTCGGTGAAACCAAGCCCACCCCGCTACGATCAAACAGACAAGTGTCCGAGTTTGTACAAGGACACTGACACAAGCTTCTTGAGGATGGTTGAAAATCGTCAAAATCTCCATCATCCACTCCAACAAAGTCCTCAACATCACTTCCAAACACAAAATTAGTATCCTCTAGTGAGGATGTAGGAGAGATGCAACGTTGAGGAGAGGTGGCCGACGGTTGGCTGGGTGAAGGCGGAAAGGGAGTTTGGAGGCAGCTGCGAAGTTCGTAGAGACATCCACGAAGAGTGGATGCTCGGAGAGAAGAGTTTTGGGCGCAGGTTTCAATGAGACTTTCCAGGTTGGTTAGAGTAGCTGAACGTGTACTTAGGTTGGCGATACTCACAAGGATTTTATTTCGTGCTCCTTGAGTAACGTGTTGGCGTTGCAACCACTCATCGGTAATTCCCAACATTTGGTAGTAGGTTAGGCACTTGAAGAGACCGATATACTTGTGTAAACGTAAACTCTTCAACCAAACCGGAATTTCTAAAATGTCAATACGAATGTAAACAAGTTGCAACATGCCAAAGGGAAAGAGATCCGTGTAAAAATAGCTAATGAAATAACACCTAATTGTTCAATGACAATAAAGAAATGTTATTATAATAGTAAAGAAGGCCTCAATTCACGTCACTTCTGGATCAACAATAGTCGATTTCACTCAAAAATTAGTGAAGAAATAAATATTTAACAATTGCTAAATACTTAATAACCATGATCATCACATCAAGTGTAACATTAAACAAAGTAGTACTCCCTAAATACAATAGCCATGCAGCCGCTAGCTCCAGTAACTTCGTTCACTCTGTCAGACGTTAAGAAAATTGAGCAATGGAGCTTACGAGCCATCCCCGGGTCCTCAAACTGTTCATCACGGAGAGATGCAGCTCCGCTAAGCGTTTCACCTGATCTTTGTAACTCTTTGGATATCGAAGATCGACGCGGTTGGTCCGTGAACTCTTCACAGCTAATCTGTGGTGGAGGGGGAGTACTTGGTACATTGGTTTGTGGCGGCGGTGGGGAAGACACAGTCAGACAGGGCACATGAGACCTTTCTTCTGATTGGCGCATACTCATATCCGAGGTTATGGCCTGTAAACGAGATGCTTCAATCAATGTATCAACGAAAATTTTAAATGGCAAGGACCTCATGATATACTTACTTCAGAGGACTCAAATGAAGAAAGCACGACTTCATTTTGAGGAGGGATAAGTAGACTAGTACATGACCCACTGATGTCAAGTTTTGTAGGATTTCCAGATGAGGACGCGCTGTCATCCTCTTCTTTAAGCTCGCCTTCTTGAGGCGAATAGGGAGAAGCCGACTGGCGTCGCAGGAGGTAAAGACGACTAAGTGAAGGAGCAGCTAGACGATTCCCACGAATACTCAGAGTTGAGGGTTCGTTCAGTCCTTGGTACATGGATTCACTGCCAGAAACAAAGCCTGAAGAATTTGGAGAAGAAGAGGTGGAAGAACTGAATGGATGGGCCATTGCAAAGGGAGAGGGAACGAGAAGTGAGTTTTCACTGGTTGGTGGGACTAGACTGTGATGTCGACGACTTTGAAACGTGTGAAGTGAGCGTGGAATGAAAGGAAAGGGCGAATTGATGCTTGAGCTTCGGACATTCCGAGAGAGAGATTTCGATGGGCACAACACTACACAAGAGAATTCGACAAATAAACAAAATGGCACAAAACCTGAAAGCAAAATTGAAGAAAAATGGTTCTTTTTGAACACCTCATATCGTACAAAAGACAAGGTACTTAATGTACCCATCTAAATCTCACCCACGTTCATATGTTGAGTAAGAGCAGATAAATCCAAAGAAAGTCCTCAAAACGATAGTAATTTTTTCACATTTTAAATAATTTAATAACTAGACTAAATTCTGTCCCTTAATTAAAAAATACTCGTAGTTGTCAAGTTTAACAAATTTGTCTCTAATTACTATTTTTGTCCTTAATTTTTCACGCGTTTCTCATACATATTGGCAAGTTTACGGTATTGTGATTACCTCCAACCGTATCTGGATGAATCGTGTCCTCTAGATCTGTAATAAAAAAATTAGAGAAAAAATCAACACGGTCTAGCCCGACTTGTTGACCCCCTATAGACACAACCAGGTTGTTATCAGTATTGCAGCATACACGCCCTTTTTATAAATACCATCCGCCGCACCCACATTTTATTACAGCATCTGGAGAATACTCTGGGTCTCAATCATCTTCAATAGTTATAATAATAACCCAATAAGCCTGATTGTAGCAATAGTCAGCACTGCTTCGCCACAGTGAAGATTGACAGAAATTAGCAAGTATGACTGAAGAAAAGGGATTGAAAATCCGGTAAGTGGATAATACTTCATCTTCTATAAACAGACGAGGCCCATTCTACAGAGCCAAATTTAAAGGAAAGATTAATCTAAATAAATGACACTGGAATGTGTTCTAACAATTGAAGGTTGAACGGCAATCTTGATAGAACAAAAATCTCTCATAGAACAAGAATAATGTACATACGATTAAAAGAATAAAAAAATATTTTAAAATGGGAAGCTCACATCCTTCAGAGCCTGTCCGATTAAGTTCAAAGACCTCGAAAAGTTCATTAACTAGATTTAGCAAACCAGCAGACTGCCAGGAATTGCCAGTTACAGAGCGTAATTTGATATTCTTTCGGAGAAAATGACGATCTTCCAGAGTGAAAAGCGGCGTCGACATAGCCACTATTAGGAGTTGACCTTCTAAAGAATCGCAGATATCATCGAAAACCAATTTCTGTTGTGACGCGTTTTCGAGGGCTTTGTCAACAAGGGTTAGATATATGTCATGAATTTGGTTCAAATCAGCTGCCTTGTCTTTTGAAGAGTCAAGCGAGAAAAGTAGTTCGAGAATGGTTGCAGAAAAATCGTCAGAGCTTTGATCAAGACCCTTTAAATACTCTAAGTTGAGTCATATATCTCAAACAAAGTTAAGCAAAATTACCAATATCAACCGCTTTTGTTGCAATACTATTATGATGAAAATCTTCTCCCAATCTGTAGGTGATCAGTGAATGGACAAGTTTCAAATAGTCACTACTAATGTTCTGCAGTGTCAATACTGTATAAACGAACTGTTTCGGCGAACTTAAATCACCAAACCAACAAAGAAATTGAGAAGTCTAAAGGTCAAACATAGAAATCCCAACAAACCTGATTATTTAGCGATAAATCACGGTCAGCAGAGAGTTCTGAGTCTGGCATATATGTGGGTAAATGACGTCCGGGAGGCGAATATTGAGAAGGATCCGTAGAACAGTTATTTTCGATGTAAATGATGGGAATTTGATTGTGCACATTTTTGCTATCTTCGGGTTTGAAAGTATGAGACATTAACAGAACTAAGAGGTGAATAATTTGTAAAGGAAATCAAACCCTTCAAATCAGATAATGCATAAAGTTAGATCCAGAAGATCTAGCTCCTTGTTTTAAATAAATCTCCCAAACAAGTTATGCTTGTTTCATTATAGATTGGGATGGAATAAAAATAACCCCACACGACTACATTGACACTTTACATAAAAATCAGAATGTGATAGACTGTACCAGACGCCTTGTATTTACCACGCAATTTATAACCAATAGGGAACTAGAAGCCAAACTTTCGGGAATTAAATTAGCTTAACTAGTCGTTGGCACCCAAATGGTACCTTTTACTTAGTTATACAGAAAACACAAATTTCAAAGAATTTAATGTATAGAATCATTATTATACCAAAATTAGTGTTTTTAAATAATTGGTTACTTTATTCAGTTTCGTTCGGGTTTTATTTTTTATCTAAATTGACATTTACTGAAGATATATAAGTCTATTGATATACTTTTTTTCAATATATAAGCAATATGATATACTAATAATAAAAAAATTTACAAATCTTCAATTTTTTGTTAAGAGATATTGATTTATTTGATAAAAGTTTTACTGGAGATTGTAAATGCCATCCCATTAGCAAAATGTTTTTCATGAGAATGCCCATTTGATATAGGGATATTGATCGATTTACTGCATTGATAATACTTATCCTATCATTTTAGATTACTCTAATTTCCTCTTAATTTAATTCACGAAATGTTGGAACCTCACTCGATTCTCTCATTGCCAATATTGTACCTTTTAAATGGATTTTGATAAGCACAAATTTACAAATCACAATAAACACGATTTTTATGATAAATTCAATTTAAAGATTTACAATATTCGGGATCTTGAGCTCTATAGTACCCGGCGCTATTTGTGTGCGACCAACATAGTTCACTAAATTAATCTTTAAAATTTCAGACAGAGGAACTAAGGGTAGATATGCTAAAATTCAAACAAAATGATCTGTTTTATGCACATTAGGTCGAATTTTGCACAAAGTTAATAAAATGGAGCTTATAAGAGAGTGTTTATTCAGTTACTCTTGTGATGACCCATGTGTCAGTTATCATAATTTGTTTCGGTTACCTTCGCAATTGTTGAATATCTAATATCAAATTGATACCTTATCCAGTTGGTCAATATAAAAGAAGCTTAAATAATTAAGCTCCGAGTTGATTCTCAACGACATAAAAGGTAAATATATAAAGTTTATGATGGATTTAAGAAATTACGCTATATATTCGTATAAAATAGAGGTATAAATACGCATACATAATCTAAATAGAGGTTAGGAGTTTTGCATCTGGTGGACTTTCAAACACCCCGATGTGCTTACTAAATTGTCAATAGTCAATATTTGAGTAGCTTTTTTATTCAGACTGATTCTACTTAAATCTTCAAAGTTAATCTCATGAATGCATATGTCAATCTCGGAATATCATAGGATAAGTTATTAACAAGTAGTTTTAGACAATTGGAAATACAATGCAATAAATTGGTTTTACTCACACAATAATCTAGGCTTGAGTGAGAAAGACGATTTTGTGCTACTCTAATAATACTGAAATCTAAGAGACCAAACAAAATTTGTGCGAATCGATACATTTTGGTAATATAAGATGCAACGAAACCGCATGGATCACTATATACAAAACTTTGAATAAAACATCTTTATCTCTAATTATACTTCAATTGGAAGCTCCAGATAAAGAAGTTAGAGGACTACAAGATTTTAAGTTAGAAGAGTTGTTAAAGACGGCAAATTTTAGAAGGAGCTACAGAGAGAGGAGCTGGTTGTGACACAGTTGGTAACTGGGAGTTTGAAGGAAATGAAATATGCAATTAAAGGACTTTGAATTCCACTTTGAGGCAAGATAACTAATAGGAATAATTGAAAAAAATCGTTGAGATCTGTAAAAGATGGAGGGGAATTTAGTTTAGAATGACTATATAGCCACCAAGACATCCGAAGGAGATAATGTTATGTCTATCGGTGGTTTAAGTAGCCAAAGGACTTTGACAAATGAGATAAGGCATGCATGGTGTTAAGATTCTGTCAACTGATAGTGTTAACGATAACTTGCAAAGTGTCCAATCATTTATCTCAGATATCCAAGAAGTATGTCAATCAACACAACTCATGGAGATTCAATTCGAAATGAATTCTTTTAAAACGTGGTATAAAGGTATTTACCGATCACAAGGAATTAACATAGACAACAGTGGCATCGGGCTAAGATAGGCTCTGTAAACATGCCACTTAAGTCAACATTTAGGATCATTCCAAAAGCATAAATTGGGACCTTGTTCCCCATACCAGCATACCACTTCATCTACTTTAAATTGTTCCTTATTTTGCAGTGAAACTTCGTGTAACTTTACTAACATTCAAGTGAGATATAACACAATTAGTAACATCAATTAAATAAACCAAAATAAAATATACCCTAATTTCAATCATGTATAAAATACAGCAACAAGAGAAAGTGTATCTGGTGTAATCTTAGTTTCAGTGAAGCAAAATATTTGGGAAACGAAACTACTACATTTTATTACTTTAAAAACAGAGCATGAGTACAGAATCCTGCGAGTAAATGGGAAAGTGAACCTGTATTGTGCCAATATTAAATTTTCAGATCCTGGGAGGGCTAGTTTTAACCACCTATGAAGGTATGGTTATAGGAGCCAATTTAGTGTCCGGGTTTTAAAAAATAATGATGATAGTGTGGGACACGTTATCGCTGTGTGCGTCATCGTATGCCTGCATGTCTGCTCACCAGGATTGGGAGGTGCGGCCGTACAACTCTGTGTACAGCGACCGTACAGTGACAATCATTAACCTCTGTTTAACCTAATCCCCCATCCTGATCATGAGTAGCTCCCTGCGTGACACACTTTATCCGCAGTGTACTCACTGAATAAGCGTGGTCCGTGCTACACGTCTGTTTCCTTTATAGCTGGGCTATAGCTTAGCTGGGTCTGGGAGTCTAGCTAGATGTAGGAGAATCTGCAGAGATTTCTGAGTTAGTCAGGCTTTACTAGAGTAGCAAAGCTTTCTGAGTCAGTCAGGCTTTAATAAAGTAGCAATCCGCTACAATAGTTATAACAGTCAATGAAGGTAATTTTAGATGAGGAGTCCGGTACATTATTTCTTTACTTGCAAAAAAATAATAAATTTTCGAAAAAAGATAGGGATCAATGCACATAAACAGAAGGGAGGGTCGTGACAAGTCCCATTTAGCTGCTTTTAATCCGAGTGATGAAGAATCTCTGTGTGCTGAACCCCGCTCTCACTTGTCATGACCTAATCAGCTTTAATGTGTCACCTGGAGTTTAAGATTGCCTAGAATTTTACTGGATTGTTTTTTTGTTTCCTTCAACTCTAAATAATGATTTAGAGACATGAATTTGAATATATTCGTGAAACAGTAAACTGAAATGAGGTAATGCAGAAAATCATTCTCAATTATCCACTTAACTACGAATGGTTTGTTCAAGGAATGGATACCATCATCTTTGTTATAAATTTTATAACATGGAAAGTGTTAAAACGAAAAAAATAAAAATATTTATAAATGCATTAGCAGCAAGTAGTAATTTGAAAAACCGATTTGCCTGTGGAATAGCAAATTAGAAATTACCCATAGGCTCCTTTTTAATTTGCAACTTAAGGAATTCTCTGGAGAGAATGAAATAGTTTCCTTTACTTTGCCAAGTGCTTTGAAGATTAAATTTACTCTTCTAAGGCTGAAATCGAAATTTACGCCATTTAGTAAATAGAGACTGTAGTGAATTGCTACACGAATAAGCCTTGACACATTCTCAGTAATCTCTATGGGAAAATCCCAAAGTATAGGAAGGCTCCCGATATAGAGGAAACAGACGAGTGATGTGGAATACTTTTATTGGGATTATCTCATTGGCACGAACCTTAACCATTAAATGTCATTTAGGCTACATTGACCATACAGTGACTATTGATTATTGATTGGTCGAGAGGTCTTTGCACGCGTGACCTCATTTGCTCCATGGTGCGATCTACATCACCTCCGCACATTCCGGAATGTTCGAGCGCGCATGAGAGTGCTCAGTTTAATTGTGTTAAGATTGTGTACTATACAAGATCAATAAGAATTTTCGCATGCTTTAAATCTAAGAGGACATTTGATAGTTTGAAATGTCACTTACCCAACGAAGACACTTGATTCAATGGCAAATATAGTAAAGTTGAAAACCCCTACTCTTCTGGGAATGAGGATAAATCAGCAGTTCCAAAATAAAACCTTAAAAAAATAATAGTAAATCAAATGTCGGTGATCAAATCATAGTTATTTAGATGTCGAAAACCTCTTGAAAAATTTACCTGCCTAAGACCTTCTGAGAAAAAAATATTTTAGTCGGCCATGCTACTAGAGGACCAATTTGATTGAATACTACAAGCCACCTTGTATATTTATCTTTACCGATAAAAGTAATTGAAAAGTGTAAAAATGCAGAAAAAAACTTGTCTGAAAGGAAGTGGGATCTACTTTAGTTTACCTCCTTGGAGAAACAATCAATATCTTGATTCTATTTGTAAGCTCTACATTCGCATAACAAGCATGATTGCCTCCACAACTGTTTCTCCAGCTTCTTCCTATTCCTTTACCTCCGCCAATATTTCTGTGTTGGTGTAACATCTTTGAATACCGAGCTAAGAGAGTGTGAAGAGACGTGATATTATCAGGAGGTCACAAGGCAGAAGAGAGAAATTAGAGCGGAATGGGAGGAGGTCAAGTCGAGAGTTTTCCCATTTCATACTTATTATATGACCCACGAATATTTATTTATTTATTTATATCAAATGGCAGGCGTTTGGGTAGTTACCATTAGCCCTTTAGTGTGAAAAAAAAGTCGAGAGGGGGGGGGTTAAATAGAAGAGTGTTTCAAAGATATAAGCAACAAACACAAAGGTAGAAAAAGGTGATGCGAGTAATGTAGAAGTAGTCAAATATGACATACTGTGGGGTCATGGTAGTTTGAAGTGAGAAGTCAACTGTTGGTTTATAGACTTGTTTGCCGTATGAGTATACGTTGCCCAGAGTGCACCATGTGGAGGTAAGTCTATCGCTCACCCCTGACCCACGAATATTTAAGAATGTTCCGAACAATGGCATTTGACACCAAGCTTTTCAGCTTTTCTTTATTTATACTAGTAATAATTTCTAAAATTCAATGTAAAAATTCATCCTATCAATTAATATTTAAGCTAATTAATGATATTTTTTAATTTTCTTTATATTGAAACTATAAGCTACTACACTTGCAGCTTAAATCTTAAGGCTTTTAATGTCGATGGTTGGTGGGCGATATCATATTGATGACAAGGGAAGTACATATGAGCGCCTCAAATGGTCACATTATTTGCCCGGCCAAAATAGTTTCCGCTTTAAAATGTTGGCAACATCTTGTGCTGCACGTAAAGATACATGAGCACATTTTAACATTGAAGGGCGTTTCAAAAAGACTTCAGGCGTGAGAAGGAAAAGTGGTAAAGGACGAATAAAATGCCTGTGATTGATGCAACCGCCTCGCAGCAAATTATGAAATACTTTTGCCTTGGGAATACTTTTGCACGTGATAATGCTTTCAGACTGGATGCCATTAATAATAGCTGAAAATTATACCTGCGCTTTCCATGGTAATGAAAGTAATTAGTTTGGAGACACTTGAATTACTTAATCAATTAATTAGAGCTCAGCTCAAATAAAAAAGCTATGAAATAGTGAAAAGGGTGGGATGTATCAAATAATCCAGATTTCTTTTATAGCTTTGGTTACCTTCGGATCTGCATTTTTTACACTACTCAATTCAATGAGACAATAAGTTGAATACATATTTATTCGAGTCCACTATGAGTTAAATTGTTAGTATTAGTCACGTGTTAAAAGTACTACAGCGAGGCGTCAAGAGTAACCCCAGAAGCGAATCGATTGATTTTCGACCATTCAGTATTGCGACTACAATCTCACCCAGAAATTAGATTTTCAAATCGTGATATATATATATATATATATATATATATATACATTTTACTACAAGTCCTAAAGGTAAGTTTAAGATTTGAATAGAGAATAAAGGCTGCAAGTCGGCTGTGGATTCTAGTAACTTATCTCCACTTAATAAACTCTATCATACTGCATTAGTACTTATTTGTTAGACGCACTCATCTAAATAGTCGACGTCCGATTTTTAGTCTCTAATGGTATTGTTTTAATCCTCGACTGGCCCATGACGCATCGCAGCGGTGATTGGATGAGAAGGCCAAATCGTCGCAATGATGTTACACTTGCACGATGATTGGATAAAGGTTATTTCTTGTCATGCACACATCGGACACCTCGTACATATCAGATTGCTTAACATAGAGAGGTATTTCCTATCTCATTACATCTTAACATCCTCCTCCTCATGAGTTTATTACCTTGCTTTTTATATCTTCCGCTAAATTCCATCAGACAAAATATAAGCAAATAATTTTGAGAAATGGCTTAAGATTGCCCTCTTTTATATTAGAAATATATCAAGTTATGCAAAGAAGATTAAAACTAATTGATCGATTAACGATGTTTATTACATTCAATTCATTTTTAATGCTTTGAAATTTATTTAATTCAAAAGTAAATGCCTAAAATCGATTCTATGTAATATTTTATTTCTTATTTAATATAATTGCGCAAAGACCATATTCAAATATGATTTTGTCGATGACGAATGCGGAATACATATTTCTTTAATAATATTATTTTTTGTGATATTTATATAGATATTATTGCTGGTGGTGGACATAATTAAATAAAGAAGAATATGAGTTATCGCGTCTTCCTAATCGGTAAGAGAAGCCTTTATAAACATTAAACATAATTTTACATTAAAATTGCCTTTACTATTATAAATTAAGACGAAGCAAAAAATCATTAGAAGCAAAGAATAAAAGAATAGAGATTGATGAATGTAAGGTAAACGTGAGGAATGACGTTAGGACAAAATGTTGAGCATCATTCCACCTGAAATCTAACATCTTCAGTCTCCTAAATTCACCATAACTGTATTTCTTCAAAGACAAAACTTCACAGTCTGATCCTAGTTTCTCGAGTGATCAGTGATTCAGTTGAAACGTTGAGAATGGCAGCAAGCTGATAACAACAAAGAATTTCCAATTATTCAATTATCCATTTAAAATCTATTCATTTTAATATTATTTATCCATCAATACAAATATATTAGCATTTTTAATTTTAATTGACAAGAAAGTATAACGATTTCTAGGCAATTCGAGTCACTTTAAAATGTGCCCTTATTTTACTGCTTTTGCAGTTTGTCCTTCTAATGGGATAAAAATAAGGAACTCAGAAGTCAGAATAATTGTAAGCCCTCGTTTATAACTTTCTACGAGAAGTGGTTCTATTATACGGCATCAGTTAACCATTTTTGAGAACAAAACAAAAATTTGAAATAATTTGAAGGACTTGATTAAATTCAGTAGAGCCTTTTGTCTACACTATGCTATCGCTTCTATTTTAACAATGTGTTATTAATTCTAGTATTACTTGGATGCCTTGAACTCGGAAATTCGGTTGGTTTTCAATCTGAGCCTTGTACCGACGAGGAACTGGCTAATAAGAAACAATGTTTTCGACGAATTCCCGAAGCCTCTTATTCTCTACCTCGTGGGTACACAGTCACTCTGCATTGTGTGGTAGCGAATATGCGAGGAAAAGCCCAGTGGCGCTTTAACAACATTCTGCTTGGTAGGTACAACTCATGATCTATTCTTAGATAATTGGATAAAAGTCGCCTTATTCATATAATCACTTTACCACGGATCTCCGTTTTCGCAATTAAGGGCGGGG